AAATAAACCTTAATCGAGGTATATATTCGACGGCAACATTAATTTATATTATTCCTATTACTTTACAAAGATTAATTTTTTATCTCATTATTAGCACACTTATTTAAATCACATTTTAGGAATCCATCATTCTCAGACTAAACATTTTAATTAACTTATTAAGTTGTAGTTATTAATTATTTTTTTACTCAGTTGTTTATTTATTAATTTGTATTATTCAAGATTCAGATGTAATTTACATACCTTAGTTACTAAAACTTACAATAGTATGACATTATTTGAAAATTGTGGTCATGTTCGTATAATAGGAAATTTCTGACGACAATAAAAGATTTTCTATTGTATAGTATGTACATTATACAGAATGTAAAAGGTATATACATAAATGTAATGACACGAAAAGTAATGAGTAAGATAATAAATAAGATTATATAAATATTTTTAAATAAATTATATCAATTACTATTTGTTTCATTACATTGGTTTATGAAACTTTCATTTAATAAAATATTTAATTGATTATGTTTTCTTATTTTAATATGAAATAAATCTGTATATTGAATCCCTAAAACTGCATTCCTTTTCGTCTAGACGATTTCTAGGAAATTGCGATTCATAAAAAGCTGCGCCTAGAAATAACCGATGGATCTCCAATATTGAAGAGAAAGAAAAGGAAAAGTATTTTTAAAGAGACGAGAAGCAGTATGTTGTTGTTATTGTTAAACAAACATATAGGTGTCATTGAACAAACATTTGCGTAGTCCGTGGTCACCGGTCAGAACGAAAGCATTGTGTTGAGGATCCGCACAGGAATGGACGTCCAACATATGGCGAATGCTCTGCAGAATGTACACAAATATTTTCGTAACTGATGGACAGGAAGAGTGATTCAGTTGATTTTCACACGAACATACCACAATGTTGCTCTTTCCGAGGCGATTAAATAGATCTCTCTTTCCATCTCTATCTCATGCATTCGCTACTCTCTGGTGGTCACGCGTACATCAATTAATGCCCTCGTGACAATTCCAATTTCAATTGATGCCGGCATATTAATTTAAGTGGACGTCGCTCGGAAATGCCCTTTTTTTTGCTACACACGCGCTACATACGGGCACACTTCTGGATCATACGGGTAGTATTAGTGAAAAGGAAGGCAAAAAAATAGTGTTCATCAAAAGTTCATCCCCAAATGAAAAATCAATAAGTACCGTTTTAACACAGGACATGATTTCAGTTCAATTTGAATAATGACGAAATTAATTATGTACAGATTGCTTTCATCTGCATGCAAATGACGAAATTGAGGTTTCCTAGCGTTTTCCATCGTGATCGTGTGAACATAATAAACGTAGAAAGTGATTTCCGCCGTAATTTCGCATAATAACTTCTTTAATTAGTCATCAAAAAAAGAACGTCGCTTCCGAAAAGAAGGTTTTGATTCAATTCGGAAGTTTTCGAGTTTCGGAAAAGTACTTAAGATTTCGGGTCCCTTTTTTTTGTTTCTTCTTTTCTATGGTAGCAGGTCAAAAAGCGTTCTGTCGCTATTTTTAGAAATCGTCTCGGCATCCAAACACGTTTCCGACGAGGTCATAAATTTTATTGATTAAGATTTATGGTAAACAACAAGTCCGAGCCAAAGTGATGCGACCCCGCAGGAAGGAAAAAGGAAACCGTTTTCGACAGCAATTACAGCACTTTTAAATTTGTTTTTCTCTTCACTTTTTAGCGGTCACCGAAGACCAGAGTTCTACTGCTGTTAAAAAAAGACATGGAAATGTTGAAAAGACGAAGTCGTTAAAGATGACTTTTTGGCCTTTACAAATTACCGTGCTCCAGCAACATCCACACAACACAAATTACCTCCTGTAGCATTGAACATTTAATTATATGTTGAGAACGATTTTCTTCTGACCGAACCGAACTCATTTTTAAAAATATCATTCACAAGAATAAAATCCGCATCCGCAATTTAAACGTGAAACTAAATTTTATTACAAGTTTACATACTAATAGGAGACAATTATTATAGAAGTAAATGAAGAAAATAGTAAACGTAATGTCTAAATGAAGTAAGTCAAAGCAGGAAAACCCATAAGAAAATGACCGCAACATGAATATAATAAAAATAAATTATAATTAACGTAATTGTATAAATACTTTACATATATTTTATAAATATGTTCTAACATGACTATAATGTTAATTGTATTTGTATTATATTCGTACTATAATATGTAGAATACTAAGTTGATTCATCGATATAAAAAGTCTGTATAAGTTTAAAAAATATTGTTCAACTTATTAGATTTGTTTGTAAATAGTTAAAATGTATGTGAATTGAAATATTTTAGAATATGTTTGAAATTTAAATGTAACATTTGTTCAGTTTTGGGAGAACGAATAGATGCGAAAAGTACTTTTAGGTTTGTGAACAAAAGTAGTTGAAATTTGTTAGAAGATATTTTAAATTTAAATGCTCGTTTTGTTTTGCATTAAATGTTTTTTTTAGAAAATATAAATTAATCACATATTCGTTATAATACTTGTTTCTTCTCCCCTTATTAAAACGTATTTTTTCGAGTGATGATGATTATGCGTGTAGGTTTTTTTGGGTGTGTTAATAAAGTGGAACGTGGAGTGTAAATTGTGATTAATGGTATGAAGATCCGTGAGAGAGATAGATAAAAATGTTGACAGTTTGTTGAAGGGTTGCTGAAGGTGGTTGTGGATGGGTGTGTTGTGTGATGTGTGTATGGAAATTGATGTTGTTGCGGTGCGTGAACGTGAAGTGCGCTCGCATGTGAACATAAAATGCATAGACCGTTGGCGGGGGCGGAAATTTTTCACCTCAGCAATTCCGTCGCGTTCTTATGGCTAGTTTTCCCACGCATAAATTTAATGGATATGCGCTACAAAGGCCCAATGCAAATTCTAAACTACCTGGAATTACATATCCTGTACGATTAAATGCAACATGATTCCTTCGGAGTCGTGAAAGGGAATGGGCGCGATCCGCAGAGATCGACACTTTCTAACTGCATCAAGTATTGTAACTATCTCCTGAACCCATCATTCCAAACTAATTCCTCGTTCCTTGCTTCCTCTCGTCTCAAGAGATTTTTCCCGATTTGGACCTTCCCACACTGAAGACCAGACCTCTCTACTCTTCTCCTACCTGTCTCGACTACTAATTTCTACGTTGACTTCCCGGCTTCGTGGAAAAATTTCGGACGAGATCGAACGAGAGAGAAATCTTATATGAAAGGCAGGGGTATGTTTCCAGCCGGTAGAAAACGTGTCTGCGTGTGGTATATGTAAAGAGGGCCTTGGCTCGTTCCCCCTAGGGGATATTCGGTTTCATTGTCTTAGGCCAATATAGAGACTGCAACGGTCAGTGAAGAATGCGACGCGATAACCTTGATGTTGGGTTTTGAAGAGCGCAAACTCTTTCCACCACGTCCAATCCAGGTTTGAAATCAAGGGACCGAAAAACAAATGCTTCTGCTGCTTGCTGCTGCCGGCTCTCTTAATGAAATCAGTGATACTTCAACAGTGGCTTTGTTGTTGTTGTGTGGTAACTGGGGGCCTCCACATTTGCATAATATGTGGGACATCGAGGTTTATTAATGAGAATTTCATTTCCTACTATTCAATTACTTTATCCCTACCGTTCTACAAACAGCTCATTAAATCAATGTTAAATTTACATAAAATTAGTAACGGTATAATTTAAAATAGTTTTAACAATATTAAAAAAAAACATAAACCCTATTAATTGTTCTTTTTAATTAGATGTTGAAAATCATTTTAATATGATAATAATGTAATTATTTGCTATTACGTGTATTGATTGAAAGTTGATAATTTTAATTAAATTGTTTTTTATATTTGCTCAAAGTTTTACTTAAATTCGTTTTTAGCCATTGAGTCTAAAATCATAATTGAATTATGGTTTTTATTGATTATACAAAATTCAATTTATATTAATCTTCTCTATAAATGTCTTATTTTCGTCAATACAATCACCTAATTGAAATAGGGTAAAATAATATGTGTTGTTTAGTATAATACAATGAAAGTTATATGAAAGTCATAGCGTTATATTTCTTTAACTTAATCATTGAATTAAAATTTGATGTTGTAGAATGGTCAACAAATTATTTCTTCTATTTATATATTGAATTGGATGTTTACGTGTATAAAACATGAAGTGTTAATAACAAATATTGACTCTTTGAATTGTTTTGTACCATCTTGTAGATTGTACGTATATTTTAATTATGCGGTGCGTTATAAATATAATAAAAAATAATGATAAAAAAAACATTTTGAGAACCCCGGGGATGTTGAATGACTTGCCCAATGGGCAAGATGAGAATACCATGTACAATGGCTCGGTTTCTGATACAGCGCCAGAAAACCGTTGATAATTATATTTTACTTGTCATTCCACTAGCAATTATAGTCAACCAAAACAACCCGCTTCTCTTTCTTACCTGTCTGCAACAATCATGAAGAAACCGCAGCAGCAATTTTCTACTTCAACGTGGTCAATTTATACTATTTTCAGAAAAATAAAATATTTACCACAATAACCTCCATTCTTACAATTGTTATACTAGTTCACTGTTCTTAAAATTCTATAAAATAAGATATGTTTGAATGATATAAATTAATTATTTACAAATATGAAATAATTCCTATGTACTAAATATAAAGGATATTTTAAAAATACAGGAAAGTAACTAAAAAATAAAGTTTATTTTAGCTTCTGTTTTACAGTAAATATATGTTCTGAGCTGTGCACTTAGTTAATAGGTTTCAAAATTATTATTTTTAAAATCATTATAAAATTAAATAATCTAAACTGTGCTACAAAAATATTTGGGGTGTAAATTTAATAGCAATGGAATGATAAATAAAGTATGCAGCATTGCCTAATCAATAAGCATGTATGAGTTTAAAACAACTCACGGAAGGAAACTTTTTGTATTTTCTTTAAGTAGCGAAAACCTTGACTAGAAAATTCAAGTATCTACCATAATTGACATTAACCACTCTCAGATCCATCGTTTTCGTCCAAAAAATTGTCGTATTCCTTTTGCAGGTCGGCCAATTGCTTTCGATACTTCACGACTTTACTGCGGACGTTTTTGTCATTTTCAATTAGACCGTGCATTTTTGTCATAGCCTTTTTGTATTGGCTCTGATCGACGATCCATCTGTGGTAGAATTCCGTCCACAAATTTAGACTGACCGGTGCAACGGAAGGCCATATCGCAGTTTTATTAGGTTCGTAGAGCGGATTTAAGATTGAAGTAAGTATGTTTGGTCTGTTCAAGTAAGACCAGAGGCTAGTCGTGCCTTTGGCCACCTCCAGTTTTTCCCTCTCCCTATCGCAGTTACCAAGAAAAGTACCTAAAATGAATATGGAACTTTATTGTGATGTAATCATAGAATTTGTGAGGGTATTACCAAATTGACTGGCATAGGAATGTTCGAAGAGAATAATCAACATTTGAGTTGTGAACTCGAAACTGCACGGGAATTGATAGTGCAGTTGTTGTACGCAGTCAAGGAATAGTAAGAAAGTCGGTTGTTGGTTCTTGTTGCGAGCATTGGAGTAGCAGAATTTTCCGTGGCGCATTTGAAATGGATGCCCGGCTTGCAACCATTCCCTTTCGATCAAAGCTTGAAGGCCTTTGTAGAGAAAATATATAATTAATGCAGACTCGAAAACTGATTGTTACCATTTACCTCTGACAGTCCTGCAATCTGGATTCAGAATTACTTGTGCAATGGATGTGACCAGTAAAGTTGAATCTAAACCGCTGGAGCCATGAACTAGGACGGAAGCGCCCTCTTGGTCCAAACATTGGGCTACCAAGCAAGCCGCATTCAGAGCATTTTGAACGTGACTTAACCAATTACTCCGTTCCACCCGAGAAACCCACTTATCAGGAGAGCAGCCGGTATCATTACATGCTTAAAATGGAACGATATAATAACTAAATATTAGGATACAAAATCTCACCATCCATGAATTTCTGGAAGCAATCTAATAAAGCGCCAGTGCAGTTGGCTATTTTGTCTAAACCTCTGTGGGTTCGTCGCCATTGGGTGTAATGGCCTTCGGGCTCGGTTCCTCCCCCTTTGGCTTTGCAATGACTGGTCAAATTGTTTGACCTAGTATCGATTATATACCCTTTTTTGTTCATTCCCAGAACCTGATTTAAAATCTTCTCGTCCGCCCTGCACCTTCGATTACAGTTATTGAGCAACGGTTGGCTGCTTCTCATTAGTACAGCACCATTGTCGTGTCTGTAACTCAACACTGGGAATCGTCCACCGTCCCGAAAATTCGCTGCAGCCATTATTGTCTCATCGTCAATACTCTTCGGCACGATTATAGTCGAACTGTATGTTGGACAAACATAATAATTCTTATTTACATTCGTTATTCTCCACTCATCTGAAGCCAGCAACTTCGAAAACTCCAATTCAGGCTTAAACAGCGTATGTCCATCCTCCAGAATGCTGTACATAGGCCTAAAGAAGAAAGGATACAGGTTGCTCGCATTGTCCAGATTTGAAAGCCTCTCAATAGACGCGTACACATTTAAAAATTCTTCCGTGGTCGCAATATCCAACTGCAGTATTCTCAAATCTTTACATTTCAATATTAAAGATCCACCATTCTGATTATTAGAATTGGTACCATTCGGACGTTTCTCCACAGAATCAATACATTGATGAAGCAACTGTAAACAATAATTAAAATATTCTTAATTAACTTTGATTAATATTTAATTCTATATATAAATGATTACAAAAAATAATATTTGGTTATTGAATTTCTTAAGTGTTTTATAATAATTTTGTAATAAATCATTAACTGTTTAACAAGGATATACATATTAATTTATAATAAAAAAAACTTTCCCTTATCTAAAGATATGAATAATAACAAATACAAAAATATGACAAAACAATTTTAATGACCACATACCCAAAGTTCCTCCACATCCTCTTTCCTTGAAGATAAAATTAGATGATGTCCGGAGACACATAATGTACCATCAACTGGTTCATGGAAAGGACTGTGTAAAATAACACCATCCAATTTGGGGGTTCCAATATGATCAGCAAATTCCATTGTCCTTATAAACTTTATAGGTTATATTTAGTTTTGTTGTAATTGGATAATATTATGTACGTTACCTTAAGTATTTCTATTATATATGAAATAATTTAATACATCAACAAATAACTACATTATTTGATTTATAATTTTGTAGATATCTGGCCATATTCTGGGAGTACTTTATATTTCAGAGACATTCACTTATAGGCAACCTGCGATATTTAATAAACAGGTTAATATTATGAATATGCAACCAACTTTACATAAATTATGATGAATATTACAAAATAAATCTCCTTTATTCTTATATATTATTAACAGTGTTTTCTTACAGTAATACATGTATATTTATTTACAATAAAATGTACACCTTTAAACATATATTTATAGACGTTAAAATTTATCCATCAGATCAAAATTAGAAAAGAATAACATATTTTGTTAAATAGTATTTAAAGCTATTTCATTTTGTTTCTGTTTCTTCTATCTATACTTATTTTATTATCAAGCATTTAAAAAAGAAAACGTTCCTGGCATATACTTTAACAGCCCAAACTCAGTCGAAAAACGAAATGTACAACCTACTTAAAGATAAATTAACAAAACATACAATAAGTCAGGTACAAAGTTAAGAAACTGGAACATATTCAAAAATAACAGAAAACTGTTCTGCACCTAGACTTTTAGCTAACCACTCATTCTTAAGAACTGCCATCTTTAAGCTATCAACTTTGAATTCTGCATATAAGTTTGTGTGCACTGCTCTTCCCATACCTTCCAAAATTACCAAATCAGCTTCATTGCATAATTGACATAAATCTATAATTCGAAAATAATATTGAAATAGAAAAATAGTTCAATGTCAGGTAACAACTAAATTACCTTCATCTAATTTGGTGAGATCCAAGCAGGGACCATCCTGGCCATTTTCCATGGCTATAAGTAGTTCACTGTTCAATGCATCTCGGATGATTTGACAATGTTTACTCGCTTTTTCTAAACATTGCTTTAACTCTATGTGAGTTATATCATTTAAAGCAGGAGAAGAGTTGGAAGATAAAACTACTTTGGTCTTTTGTTTCAGTAATTCCCTAGCAAATGGCAAAATGCCCAACACAAAATCAACCCCTGCATTATCAACAAATATTATTGTCATTTTGTATGGAGTAGTCTGAAAATATTTTAATTTTAACACAATTGATTAATTGTATTTTACCATCACTTACCTGTATTTTAAAAACCCATTTATCCAATGTGTCTTTAAACCATGGCCTGCTTTGAATTGTGTCCATTGCTTGCTGCAAACCAAATTCCTTAGATTCCTCAAGAATATCAGTTACAGCCTTGGCTCCCCAGTCGAACATATTACCAGCCAAAACACCTTTTGCAATTTGCTCCCATTTCAGTGATTCATCCAATATGTTATCAATTTGCTTGATTCTGTGTGGAAACTGAGTAAAAGCCATTTCATTTTCTTTGTGTTTCTGATGCAGCCAGGCATCCTTAAAGTTGTTTTCTCTTAATTTCCTCTCATTGAATTCCAACAAGGTTCTTATACTTAACGGATTCAATATACTGCAAATCTGTTAAGTCAATTAAATAGTTTACTTGGTTTGATGTAACTTACGTAGGGTCATGATGTAGTTGATCGATGAGGCTTTTGAAGCTGTGAAAACATTTCTCGGCAATCTGTTTGGCCTCTGGATTATCTGGATTCAATATGCCAGCTCTCTTAATAAAGTTCTTCACCATCTCCAGAAGGCATTTAAACCAGAAAGACCTTTCATTTAGATCATTTATTAAATCTACTGTGTCAGGATTATACTTGGATGGATCCTTTAATAATGGACATACTTTTTTATTGGACTCCATACTGGATTAACTACAACTGCAATAATTTTCGTTTAGTTTCCTTTGTTGTTGCCCCAATTGCTTGCGGTTTTGCAATACTAACGCAATTAATTTTCAAAGGAATTGGATAAAATATTTTAACTTAACCTCATTTGATTAAATATTTTGTTTGTTAACGCAACTGTTGTCACTGCCTGATAATGCTTTAATTCGTGTTTACAAAAACCTTGGATTTTTTCTGTTGTTCAAACAAAATAATTCCTTGTTGATTTTCGGGAGTAATTCAAAATTTTAAAACAATCTCATTGGACTTTTTAAATTCATTTCTGTCCTGTTGGCACAGCTGCTGTAATTTAACTACCAAGTTCCTACTACTACTTCTATTCCTATTTACGTTTATTTATAAACTTAGCAAAACACAACTGCTATTATCTTATTTATATATAATACTTTATTTGTTCTTTAATTATCTAAAATCACCTGAATACAATTTGCTTTAGTTGATAAAACTGTATGAAAAACACATTGAAATTGCTTATTCCTACAAGTCACTATTTTTTTTCCATTTTATATCACCGTCATTCAAACTTTATACCTTATTAAGCAAAGTATATATTACGTGATGATAAACAGATGCACAATATACAGAAAATAATTGAAATTGAAAATACATTTATTGATATAGTTAATTATAGTAAATTAAATATGCTGTACAGGCTACATTTAGGATTAGAGTTTATCAAATTGTTAATAACTGTTTATACAAAAATGATTAAAATTTTGTTAATAACGTATTACTATGATATATATGCACATAATAAAAAATCATTTAGCAATAAACAACATTAAAAAAGCCTAATACTATGCAAGCAATATAATATTATTAATTATATATCATAATTACAGTTACAATTAAATTGAGGAAAGTTTTTCAACTATATAATTGTAAATTTAATAACCTTCATATTGATTCATCAATATTAAAAGAATGAATCTAAATCATTACACGTAATAAAAAATTACAAATCAATTTTTAATGATAACATTAGAAACTGGAGAAATATTAAATATGAAATAAGTTAATTAACAGGAGATGATGAAGTCTGCAACATTAATTGTTAATTTTTTGAAATATTGTCTACCAAGTTATTAAAAAAGAGAATCAAGTTTATATTTAGAAAAGACAATTCTATTGATTATAAAGATTATATATAAATGATTATGAATGGACAATACATTTATATACAAATTTGTTTTCATTTAGTTTACATAAATGATTTTTAACATGTCTGGCATCGATTAATGGTAATTACGTTATTTATTTTTAAAATAAGCTCATTATCTATTTGCCATCGGTATGTTAAGTAAAGACATTCGAATTTTTCCCAAACTATAAAAACTCGAAGTTCTTTCTTCAAATCATCAGTTGACTAAAGCTCTTCATAGAATTACAATGTTTTTGGTAAGTACCAGTATCTATTTATTTAATTTTGAATCTAATTGTTTATTGTTGGTTTGTTTATAGCAAACAATTTTAGCTGCTCTGTGCGTATTCAGTGTTTATGCTGAACATGGTCACATAGCACATTACAACAGCTATTCCTTCAAGTTGCCCGATTCACCAGCTGCAATTCCAGCTGCTCATCCAACACCGATTCCACCTGTAAAAGTTGAACCACATGCGGTGTACGGAATTCCTGAGAAATTTGTGAAACCGTTCGTCAAAGAAGCACCGTACCCAGCAGCTCTGCCGACGAAACCATATCCAGCACCTCAATCCATCAAACTTAACCTGGCTCCTGAACAACCCAAAATACTGGCAAAACCAATTTTCACCAAATACGCATTTGACGTTCCAGTTACTGAGGTCCCAAAGATCATTAGACTGATCAAACCTAAACCAGTCCATGCAGATCTAGAACCTATTGTTGCTCAATCTCCAGTCCTCAGTAAGTACTCTTTCCAAATCCCCGTAACTGAAGTACCAAAGGTTCTTAGAGTGGTAAAACCTCATGCCGTCAACGCAGCACCAGAACCCATCGTTGCCAAAGCCCCGGTCTTCAGTAGTTACTCCTTCAAAATCCCCGTAACTGAAGCACCCAAAGCAATTGAACCTCTCCCTGCCCTTCAACTCCTTTCAGCACCCGTTCAACATAACTCTGCTGCAGAACCACTCACAGTGAAAACCATTGCTGAACCAGTTCTCACCAAATATGCCTTCAAAATTCCTCAAACTGAAGCACCGAAACACGTTCCAAGCAAACCTTATCCAGCACCTCAACCACCAAAACCGTACCCAGCTCCTCAAGCCATCAGAACCCTTCCTGCCCTAAAACCAGTTGTAAGTAAATATGCTTTCAAAATTCCTCAAACTGAAGTACCAAAACACGTTCCAAGCAAGCCTTATCCAGCTCCTCAACCACCCAAGCCATATCCAGCTCCTCAAGCCATCAGAAAACTCCCAGCCCTAAAGCCAATTGCAACCAAATATGCCTTCAAAATTCCCACAATCGATGAATCGTTTGTTGCCCCATACCCCAAACCCCATGCCGTCTATGGTGTTCCACAATAATCGTTAACTAATTGTTAAATTTATTGTTGTTTCATTTTTGTTGATTTTGTTGTTATTACACATGTTGTTTGTATATGGTTTATGAGATGAATAAATTGTTTTAAAAAATATTTTTCTATTTTTATTATTTTTCTATAAAACATTTAGGACAAGAATATAATAATAAATATTAATAAATAATAATAAGTATGTACAAAAGTAATGAAAATATAGTAAGTTTTATTGAAATTAATTGTTCTGCTTAAAAAGTTGCTAATTACAAAAATAAGAAAGTGTATAAAGTGAAAGAAGAACCCATTAATTTCCCAAATATATATCAATAGGATTTCAAATTTTAACATACATAATTTTTAACGCTTCAAGTAAATCCGGCCCGGATATAAAAACGTATCGTCTACGAATTACATTCAGTTTAGAAATCGTGCTCAACATGTACACAGTAAGTGAACTAACCAAATTTTTTGTTACTATACTTATCCACTTTTTTTTGTAAGGTTGTTTTAGCCACAATTTTCATCTCTGGCCTTTTGGCTGAAGAGATCCCATTGATTCAGTATTTCACACCGCAAGATGCTCAGTCCAACTTCCACGGTTTGGCCAAGGAATTGCCGCATTTAAGGAATTCGAAAAACGAGAGGATGGGAACATCAATCTACGATTATAGTTTCCTAAATGATCCTGGAGTTAAGCCTGTGATGGAGCAAAACACAGAAGGTCCACCGTCGAAGGACATCTTTGGATCATTATTTATGCCGCAGGTGAACGAAAGTCTGCTGAAACTGCCTTTCCTCGGATTCAGTCAGAATATTGCCAATCATAATGTAGCTGGATCGTTAATGCAGCAGCCAACTTCAGCTAACAACGGAATCGAATTATTTATGCATCAAACTCAGAATTTGTTTAACCCAAATCTGTTCGCCCAGAACCAACAGACGACCAATAATATGCAACAATTATCTCAGCAAAAGCAGCAACCGAAAAGCAACATTCAAAACCAATTGAATGCTAATCAGTTGAACCAAATTTTAACAATGCTGTCGAATCAAAATCTTCAAACAGCTACACCGAATTTTTCCAATACTCTTTACAGTATGTTAATGGCAGCTCAGAACAACAAAAATGGGCAGCAATCACCACCAATTGGTAATGTAAATTATGGTCAGACTGTGGGATTGAATGAACAAAGCGGAGATTTTACATTCGGTCATACTTTGAGTGCACCCAAAATTTTGGACCTTACTTCTATTTTCAGTCAGAATATCGAAAAAACTAAATCAAACGAGAACAAGAAAGTTCATTTGGATGTAACCGATCTTTTGGCGAAGATAGCAACACAAAGCGAAAAAGCACCGAGCGACATCCAGACTCATTACAAATTCGCTTCGGATGAAGAGAAACCAATTGTTATTAAGTTGGATAAGCCCAATATCAAAGTGTCTGAATCTCCGAAATTTGAATTCGATGATTATGTGAAGCATTTTGAGAAAAGCAAAAATGCCAATTCTGAAAGTAAATTTTCCGAGTTTCTGAGTCGTCCAACTTTGCATAAAACCTCGAGTTACGAAAGTGCGTTACACGATTTTTCAAAAATCCCATCGGAAAGTTACGAAACCAAGTTCCACGATTACTTGAACAGACCATCTCTACATATTGAAGATTCTAAAGTCCACAAAGACATATTCGAATATAAATTTCCATTAGAAAGTAAGAAACCAAAGATAGTGCACCATCATCACACCATTGAAAGCAAATTACCAAAAAGTGAATTCAACTTCGATGAATATAAATTCTCTCCGAAATTCATGCATAAAGGTTACAAATTCCCTGCTCAGTTTTCGGGAGAAACGAAATTTGGTAACGAAGCGCCGAAATTCCACAACTTTAATGGTATCCGCTTCGATGAGCCACCTGCGTTTGGAGGAAAATTCGAGAATGAATTCAAATCCAATAAAATGGGAAATCGCCAGAAGCAGAAACCTAAATCTAGACCACAACCTCCTAAATTCAAACCTAGAATAAATCCTCCACCAAAGAAGATTTCTCCTCCGGCCAAGTATTTAATCAAAATCACTAAGCACTAGTCGTTTAACCTTTCTATAATTTTATATATATTTTTATTTATTATTGTTACATGATTGTTTGATGTTAAATAAATTGTTTCTTAAAATAACTCAACAATGCGTTTCGAATTATTCACAGATCGCCGAAATGCCGTACCCACATTAGGTGTGTCATTTGCAATCTTCCTTAGACGAGTTACATATTTTTTTTAGTACGCCCGAAGGTAATACTTCAACATGCTCATAACCTTTCGTAGAAAATGTGAACTTATGGAATCCAATTATTCAAATTTCCGCGGAAAATATCTCAGTTTATGCGGCAAGTTTCATCCACTATTTATTGTTGCTACGTGACTGGAGGCCTTCAATTATGTTCTAGATCATAAACATTACCTGGACAAATGTTCTCTAATTTTGGGTATTTAATTGTCGGTAATCCGATGCGCAACAATAAGTTCATTGCTTTCTTTAACAAACTTATTTTAAAAAGCGAAGTGTTCTCATGTGAAACAATTTTAAGTATTACTATTAAAAACAGATAGAAATAAACTGTATGCAGATGGTAGAGGATTTAATTCAATGATGTGCATATGTAAAGCCAAATTTGAATGCTAACTAATTCATAATTGCAATTTACGTTGGCGTGTGGAAGCAAATGTAGCGTTCGAAACATTAACCATACTGATGTAATTAAAATACAAATTGATGTTAATGCGATGCAAATCTTCGTAAGTCCGGGACTGCGATAACATTGTTCGGAATTTATGGTCTTGATATTTCGTCTGAAATATTGGATGAAGAACGCGGCGCGAGATGGGCTCGTTCAATTAAATAATACATTTCTGAAAGGCATCGCAATTGCATTATACCAGATCGATTTTTTTTTGCAGTCTTCTTCTTTGAACTGAATTTAGTTTTTCCTCTGGGTGGGATCCACCGTTCTCCTATAAATAAATCGACAATTTCTTCTTCAAGTCAGACAGCAATTTTAATCACAGCCAATAGCACAATGAAACTTGTGCGTTAATTGCGAACTGTTCCTAAATATTGTAATTGTCTCATTTTTTTTCTCTTTGTTACAGATTATCTTCAGCTTTTTGCTTCTTTCGGCTATTAGTTATGCAACGTCGCAAAGATATGGCAACAATATACCTATCATCAAGTACAACTACGACCCTCGTCCAGATGGCTCATACACATATGAGTAAGTAAAACACAATTATTTTATACTTGTGTAGCCACAAATCAAATACTTTAATTGATATGTAATTAACCTTATTTTTATTCGAATGACATCAGATGATACTAGATCAGATGAGATCAGAGATACTAACATTAATTATATCATTACATGATTTATTCTTATTATGTACTTAATTATTATTTAAATATCGATTATAGATTATTGCTTCAATTCAAGAGAATTTGAGAAAAATAATTAACTAATTAAAAAATAAGAATTCAAATGTGTTAGTGCATAAAATAATTATGTAATATATTTGATGAATGACGTTCCTTGAAATTTTGAATTTTATTGCTTTAATGAATTTGATATTTTGAGAATCATAAAGATTGGAAAGAGGAATATGCTAAATCATCAGCACTTGCTTCGAGATGATTTATAATACTATTTATTTATTTTTGTTTCTTGTGTGTTTCTGAGGCTTGGGGCAAAAAGCAAATATAAAAAGTGGTTTAGTTGGGAAAATCGATTACTGTCCTTGCTATTATATAAAGTGCACACAGATTCCGGTGCAGATCGCCTAATGAGCATTAGCACTCTCACTTTCACAGCATTGTCCAGGTCTTCTGGGCGCGTCTCGGTAAATACAAAACCAGACCATCCCAGATCACGGACCAAGGTCTCCTCTCATCAAATTCTAGCTTCTTGCCTCATCGGCATATTCAATATTTCGATGGAATCGCAACGCATTGTTTCTCTTTCAAAATAATGATCGATTTAAGATGCAGAGAACAAAGTGTACATAATTTACGGGAATTGAATACTAACGCGAAAAGTGGTTTCTCATGAAGTTCAAAGACGGGACTAATTAAAAAGCGTTCAGAATCGTTGCGAAACTAATTTGGCTTTTTATACTAATTCCAGACAATTAAAGATGCATTAAATAATAGAATATAATTGTCTTAATTTCTTTCTTTTAATTAACAGTCAACAAAAAATCAGCAAGAGTTTTCAAGGAATATTTTTTTTGTGTGCTTTCAGATACGAAACTGGAAATGGAATAGTCGCCAATGAGAATGGATACCCAAAAGGTTCGGATTCGCAAGTAAAACAGGGATCTTATTCGTATACAGGTCCAGACGGAAACCGTTACACCATCAACTACATAGCAGATGAGGATGGTTTCAGAGCTCAAGGTGCCCATCTTCCAACAGCTCCACCAATTCCAGATGCGATCCTGAAATCTTTGCAGTACAATGCGGCTCATCCTGAGGAGGATTCATCCCAAAGAAGATTCTTCAAATAATCTCGAACGCTTTTGCTAATGATATCAGTCGACGATTCGGATTTCTTGTAAATGCATTTTTAAAATTTCGGTAATTTAAGTAATGTTCATATCAAAAATTATGACTGATCAATTAATTGATGATTATTTCATTACAAAACATAACGTAGCCGGTCAGTAACTCTAATTCTGATAACTTTAATTAATTTAGTTCTTACGCAACTCTCGATGTGTTCAAATGACGACGACATAATTTATAATTTAAGATATTTTATTTTATTATACACGCATACTATATTTAACTTTATGTAACTTAATAAATTGCATGGTTATTATATTTTTCATTCAATATATATATACATACCCCAATATTATATCTGCAGATAAACATTTATGAAAAGATATGAAATATACAAATATTTTCGATTCCAATTATTTTGTAAAACGAAATTCGTTTTTATTTATTGACAGAAAAGTGTCATTACGTCATTTCAATAAATTTAATTTTTGCAAATTATTTACATTTTTTTTCGAAGTTAAAGGTTAAAATAAAACCAAATACCTTAATTAATACTGAGTATAGGTAAAGAGGTGAAATCCGATCTAGTGGTTAAGTGCGAAGTGATTTCTCAAATGAATTTGTAATTAAATTTGCATTAATCAGTCGTAAAAAGTAGCTTTCCGTTCAAATTTAATACGACCATGTGTCAGAGGTGGGTCAATAGTTTAATTGATCGCTGAATAATATTAATATTTTTTGCTAATTTAATTCCTGTCGGCTTTGAAATATCTTTTTAAAGATTAACCCATATGCAAATTAATAGAAAATAATTATAGGTAATAATAATTGTTTAGTCATACTTCGATTAACGATTTCGATTCGTTCTACAAAATTATCCCATTAAGCGCAATTTCGTTTTCAGATGTAAATATACTATAGCCACAATAGGGGATAAGTTTAATTAAATAAGTCAACTTACAAAGAAAAATCACATTTTAAAATATTACTCTAAAGTTGATTGTTTGTGCTATTTTATTTTATTTAACAATTGTGTATACGGAGTTATTGCATTTACTTCTTAAATCAGGATAATTTTCACTAAAAAAATGACTTTTTAAATGTTTGGTTGATACATTTTTTTGGCAGGAACTTCTTTAATTTTGTCTTAAATTTCTTTATCTTTCTTTTGATTGAGCAATTTGGATAACATAAATTTTTAGTCGTTATTTTCTTCTTCTAGTATAACTTCTGACCATATTATTATCACATATACTAAATTATAGTTTGAACTTTGAAATTCGTATTAAATTTTTAATCAGTTTTTATTTGAAATCTATAATTAATAATTAATTAAACGTAACTAAATGAACTACAATTATGACAATATATTTATTTTATATTCTATAAAATATATATTTTTTAGATTTGATACGCATACTTAATGTATGAAAAAGCAACAATTTCTTTAGTCATGTAAATAATAGAATACATTAATTATGTTATACAATATTTACTCATGGCATTTAATGGTTGGAATTATAAGAATTTGAAGTGAGAATAAATAAAAACGCAAGACTTACAGATGAAACGATATGCAAATGAACTTTATAAATGTTAGTGAATCATTTTATGGACGCGCCTTCTTCGCGCCAAATTTATTCCATTGGGAACCATTCTACACAATAATTCTTTTCACAGGCAGGTGCTTATGGATCACTCATAAACGCTTTCAGCGCTTCACTCGAATCTGATGACACGCGACCTTTCACGAACAACCAAACCTTGGTATCTTTAGTCATGTGATCACTATTATTATCTGAATGATACATATTTCTTCTACTACGTTTTTACTTTTGCATATGTCATTGTTCATATTGCTCATTTGGTTATAGTATTTGAAACATGTTGCAACTACTTCAAATTTGCACAGTCATTATATTTCTTAATTTTACCTTTTCGTAAAGAAAATTAACATATTATAATTTCGCTTTTTTTCTTTATATATAAAATTAACTAATTAATTTCCTAAATTACCGAAATTCAAGAGAACGTTATTTTCTTAATTTCTCTTTGTTTTATTGTTATTATCAATTTGATATTGTGAAGAATTTGTTTATAGTAGAATAGTTTAATACTTAAAAGAAATTTGCTAAATTCACGTAATAGTAATACAACTTCAAGTAAAATGTAGAAAATTTCGTCAACTTCTTAATTCAATTAAAATTATGCTATTATTATCTATAAAAAAAATGATAATTGCAGTTCAAAATATGCAGTAAAAATCTGGAAATTTGGTAGAAATACGAATTAAATTTTGGTAATTCATGTCATGTCTTCAACTATTCGGTCTTTCAACTCGTATAATAAAACAAGTAGAATAAAAGTAATATTAAAAGATATTTAATATAAACGTGAATGAAATTTAGGAAAATAAATAAAAAATGCGCCGAATAGAAGAAATAGAAAGTCATTGTTCTGTAGTCATTATAACAAAAAACTTTGGTAAGTATATTAATTGGTAGCAACGAAATGGAAATAATAAAAAGCGGCAGAGAAAATGAAAAGAAAAACGAGTATATATGATGTAGGCACGACCGAATGGACTGCAAAATCTGCACTACTATTGAGAGAATAATGAATGGAAAGAGATACGAATCTTACGCACAAAGTACATTCAATGAAACAAGTGATTTTTTTTGCGCTTCTGGTAAGTTTGATTTGCAAATGACTTCGCGATGTGCATAATAAAACAATTTGATTCTATGGCGGCGTTTTCGTTTATGTGTGTGTTTTTTTTTGTGTTTTCTGCGAAGAAGAAGTTGGTGTGCTCAAGAGCCTTGACCAAACCATCCTATAGGTCGACACAAAACACAATTATATCTTAGCATCTTTCTTACCTATTGTCTCTAATTTATATCCGTCCAGATTGGCCAATATCCGTAACAATTGATAGGTATAGATTTTCAAAATTTCTTTTTTCATTCGTTCAATAAAATCAGATTGAGAATGAAATAAGTAGTAATTATTTTAATGGTTGAATGGAAAATACAGTCAATTAATTGTGATAACAAGAAAACGAACTGATAGATCTAGATTTTCAAAATTTCTTCTTTATTAGTTCAGTCAAATCATTAACAAAATTAAAATAAATTTAAAATCATGAAATTATATAATTTACAGAAAATGTACACGATAAATTGAAATAACCGGTAAATAAAATGATTAAAATTTAATGATCCCACTGACATTTTGCTAATCTATTTATAACGAATACAGTTTAATTACAAAAAAAGAGATACATATTTCCTACCTTAAAGTAGATTTACAGCGTGAAATGAAACATTCCTTTAAAAAGAACGTTGCTACAATCTCCGTTTCTGCAAAAGATTGCCATCTCGAAGGAAGAATAAACCTTTTTGTGTACTTTTTTCTAGACAAGGACGACCATTAAATCATAGCCGGAATGGCATCAGTATTCGCGGCGGATGTGCGAATACTAATAAATTTACCGGTCTAAACGAAAAAATAAAAATATTTGATGTTGGGAAACGATTTGAATTATTTATTATGTCGTTGCTTGTACCAATTTTTCGAGATTTTGAAACGAGTCGTACTCGCATCATAAATGGTAATAATAATAATCCGTTGCATAACTTTGGCGAGATGAATAAGAAGTAAAAACAGAAGAAGCAAGAGTTGGGATGCGTTAATATGCCCACTTGCGTGTTTTGCATGTGTAAGCATCTAGAAAGGCATTTCCTAATGGAATAAGAACATAATTAATTAAGTAGATGTTAATGCTATGGATTCATAATGGGATGAGCACATCATGGGAACAGCAATTGGGAATTCTTTAATCGTTAACGAAAACGAAACGTTTGCTCCAGTTTCACATAGGAATCTTCTTCGCAGTTTTATTTAAATCAGAAATGTTTCACAATTCACACCGATTTTTTTTAATATTATATAAACAAAAAAAAACAATGGAATGTGTAAACTATATACATATTTATTAATTTCAACAAATTCTTTCAGCAATTCTTACTTCAGCCTATTCACTTTCTTATTCAAAATAACAATAATAAATGTAATACATTTTTATTATCATCAGTATAAAGTATTAGGAAAAGGATATTAAAAACATAGTTGGAAGTGACAATAAGTAATTACATTTAAGAGTAATATTTACTTAACTCCGTTCATTTTCATTTTTTTTAAATTTAAAATAATACATTTCTATTTTAAGTAGAATATTTATTTTTATAAATTATTGTTTAACGCAAAGAGTTTAAAAAACTATTTCAGTCAAAATACATAGAATTTTCTTTAATATTTGTTGAAATATTAGACTTTAAAAGTAAAAGTGTTCTAAGCGGAATGAAGACTTTAATAATTCGCAAAAGAAGGTTAAACTAGTTACACTTCTATTTACATTGTACTACCACGTGTTTTGCCATTTTGCATATTGTGCAATGCGATGGAATTTATGTCTTCCAATTTACCAATTATCGATTAGGATGGTTAGTGAACAACCTACGTAAGTTCAATTTACATAAACTACTTAATAACGTCCCATAATTTCCATCCGCAGAAGTTATTCGAACGCAAATTACTCTGTTTATAGAAAACTGATGCAAAACGATTGCAATAAAATATATATTTTTTGCATTTTTTGTAGCAAGGCGACTGAGAAACATCCTTTTGTTCAAATGGTTTAATAATATTTCGATTGTACTTTCGATAGATCGATCGTTTGTTATTATTAATTGTTACGTAAATTTTAGCAAGCCGAATGTTTATGCAGGGAATGGGTTGAGTTCGAGACCACCCACGAGACACAAGCAATTTGTCAATCTTTGGACATACCAAACGAAGATATGTCAAGGATCAATATTACCTTCTTTCCCGTACATTTATTGGAAAATTTTACGTGTATGATCGTTTTTTTATTCATTTTTCATAGTTATATTATGTAAACTTTTTAAATAGATTGCCGGTTTTATGTCATAGTTGAATACATTTTTTGTTAGTCATTGAGAGAAGTACGCATTTACACATGTTATTCAGAATTAATCAATTTGATTTCTTTTATGAAAGCAATAACGTTGTTTTTAGAAGTATATTGTGCAAGTTATATAATACTAATGTATTTAAGTATAATAGTTAGAAATACACTAAAGAAATTATCTATCAGTTTAATATAAATTTCAGCAATAAAAATAGTTTGAAGAAAAGATGTGTACAAACAATAATATGACTTGAATTCTGAATACATGATGCAAACTTTTGATACAGTTTACTTTAAATTTTAGCTTAGTTTCATTTCTTTCAATTACATGTAAAATTGTGATAAGAAAAACTAATAGAAATTTAATATATAGAAATAAACATTTAAAAAAATCTAGCTGATATTCATGTACTTCTAGTTAAGCCTTTAGAATTATCCTTTTTAAACAATTTAATGAGTATTTTTAGTAAGGGATGAATGAAAACTATTTGTAAATTAAGTTTTCGTAATTACATAATCCTTTGAACTGTAAAACTTTCTAGTGTATTGGATGAGTGTGTTAGAAATTCGATGACTAAAAACTGTGTAACCTTTCTCATGCAGAGGATGTGATTGTTCTGATGTATAAAATCCCATTCCAGTTGGTTTTTATGAAATGTGATCGTGTTCCGTTTTGATGAATTCCCCGCTTCCATTCTAGATCGTAGTTTTACGGTAATGGATGTGATCCGAAGAAGAGTGAATCGTAATAGCGATGGATGCAACCCTGACCTCCGAACCGCAGAATTCGTGTTCGGGGTGGGTGTGACTCGCGGAGCGGGAGTATATAAACTCCTAGACCCCTGACACTCCACCGACAAATGTGCTCTGGATACTCACACAAAATCAACAAAATGAAATTGGTAAGTTATTATTATTATTCAATTGCACTGTTTTATTATAATGTTACTTATTATTGATCAATGTTTATTGGCCCTAATACGGGCCAAAAATCTTATTAACTAATTTAACTTGTATTATTTTGTTAAGGATATTACTATTATGAAAATATACCTTTTGCTCTATGAAAATGAAATATGCAATTTACCATATAAAATATCATTACATTTCTCTTGACTGGAAAACTTTTTGATCGATGCAAAGTTAGGACTAAAATGTTGTACAACTATATTTTTTTGTGTATTTAATTCATTGCAACTTATATATTCTATAGTTAATAATGATTGTAATTGTAATTAATTTGGAAACATGTAGAAAACGAGAATCATTATTTCATGAAGAATGTAAGTGTTTATAAGAAATATGATCTTCTATTCTATTTATTTTGAGTTAAAGATGTGCCTGAAAATAGAAAATACATTAATATAAATGTATGTTATAAAATATTGAAATTAATAATGCAAACTAATAATTATCATGACACGTCATCTCTTCGATTTAGTTACAAAATAGTAGATCGTGGAGAGTATTGCAGTTATCTCAAAGTTGTGGTAAATCAATTGTTTTGTTGGAATTGCCCAATGGGTGTTGGTAAAGCGCAGCAGAGATGATCAAAAGAAATGCGTGGGCAGGAAATTACCATTTACGTAGCGCCAATTAATTCAACGCAATTATCGAATTTCAAATTGTTGACTCAGCTACAATTAATTGCAACATCTTTCAGTTCATCGTATGCTGTTTGGTGGCCGGTGCCTTAGCCGCCCCTCAAAACTACTACCAAGGTAATTACAACCAAGGACAGTACCAATATCAATCCAAGAACATCGTACCAATTGTCTCCGAAACCAATGAAGTGAATCCAGATGGCTCCTACCGCTACAGGTATTTACTTTAAAATTGTTAATATGCATCTTCTAATACTATTGATTCTTTTTTAGTTACGTAACCGGTGATGGACAACAAGCCCAAGCTCAAGGATATCTGAAGAATGCAGGAAACCCTCAAACCGAAGCTCAGGTATCACAAGGTTCTTACTCTTACACCGCTTTGGACGGTACTCCCATCACCGTAAACTGGGTTGCCGATGAGAACGGTTTCAGGGCTGAAGGTGCCCATCTTCCAACTCCACCACCAATTCCAGAAGCCATCCAAAAGTCGCTCGGACTTGTCAGCCAAAACCAGAGGTTCCCAACCCACCATCAACCTCAATACAATCAATACAACCAAGGAAGATACTATTAGATATTATTATGTTTTTCGATAACATTCTCAACATAGTTAACATTCATGCTCAGGCTACGTACCGTAACAAATCTGAAATTTTGATACCAGTTTTTTTATATGTAAAACCGAGAAGAAAAGAAAAAATGAAATAAAAAAGCATTAATAACAAATTGTACATATGTATTATTACAAAAAGCATTTATAATCGTTATCTTCGTAAATATGTTTCTTCGTAGCTGGGAAAAATTCTAAAAGTCTTAGGAAATCTTTTCTTCGGATACTGATTAAAACCGAAATCGATTCGGCTTTGTAGGTGTAGTAATGCCCAATATTTGGGTATATCAATTGCTGATATCCAAAGTGATCACCGCTCCCCAATATATGCTCAATGGTTTCGATGTAAAGTCCGTCTTTGGACAGGGCATGAATAGTTCCTTCTTCAATAAAGTACATCGTCCCATCCGTATCGCCAATGGTCAAAATGTAATTTCCATAATACGTTTCGGATCTCATCGTGGTTGCCAATTGTCTCAAGAAATCGGAGTGGCATTTCTTCAAAACTGAATGTTTGTGCAGGTGATATCCAAACATAGAGTAAAGAACGGCTTCTTTCAAATAGTAAGGAGCATTGTCCAAGAGCGTTGGATAATTCAACATGCGATTGTAGCTTCTCAAATAGGTATTAATGTAGTTCATTTCAGGAGCCGATATATCGAGCACTCTCAGCAATCCCACAAACTTCGACACTATCTTATTGAAATCGGATTTAATTTGCATCACGATCTGCATTGTCGATAGGAATCTTCCGAGCAACCAAATCATGAAAACCGTGTCCAGAAGTATGCAGAAGAATATAAAAATTGCGGTATTATTGCGAAATTGTTTTTGTATTGTGTTCATTGTTAATATCTTAGCGGCCATGTCGATGTCTGCAATTAAATTAAGTAGATTTTTATTCCTATCTTTCGGAATTAAAAAATCCTCTTCGATGAAATACAGCAAGACACATTGGAACTCCAATAAGACAACAACTTGAACTATAATATCCACCAATCTTACGAGAAAAGAGTTTACATTCAACTTTTTCGATAAAGTATTCATATAATGTAGTAGGTAAAAAACTCGCAAGAATCTGTTCAATCGAAAGATATTGAACAGAAACATTTTGTATTGCTTTTTAAATATCAAGTGCGTGAATATATCAAGCGGTAAGTTTGCGCACACATCGAAATAAAATCCGAAGTTCATGTTCATATACCTTTTAACAATTTGCTTCTTATCAAAAATGAGCATTCCGTACTCATTCTCAAATGCTATATGAAATTTCATGTACATTCTAATAAACCATAATAAATCTCTAAAGTAGAAAGTGAGGTAATCGTAATTATCCACTCCGATCGCTAACGTTATGACTTCGAAGGGTGTAGCATAAATGAAGTCGTATATGAACAATGCGATTTCGCAGTAATACAATAAGTTTGTTGGTTTGTATACTTTAAAGTATTTATATTTCTTAATATCAACTTCGTTACGGTGAGTAGTTTCACTATCGAATTGCCTTTTATTGGTGCTCTGTATAAAATCTGTATAAAGTGCTATATATCTTTTATAAATCTTATTGAATTCTGGAAACTGCGATAAAACTTTGTAAAAGTTCTCACTCCTGATTACCAATACTTCCACGTGTCCATTTGCTACCATCGTTAGCGTTTGTCTAGTGTTTCTGCATTTGTCCAAACATCCGAAGAGACTTCCAGGATACAACGTTTGTAATTTGTTAGAATCTGGACCGACAACTTCCACCAATCCTTTCCATAAATAAAATATCTTGTTATGTATATCGTTCACCTTGTAAATAATTCCAGTTTTCAAATAGGTCTCTTGATCCGAAATAAGCAAGATCTGTTTGATAAAAGATTTACTGGCCCTTGAGAAAATACTTCTGTTTTCCATTGAAGGTCCATACAGTTTATAAAGAATATTTAATTTGAGGCTCAACGGAAAATCGCTTATTACATGCATCATTGTGACTCCCATTCTTTTATTCCACGTGTATTCAAAATATTTAATAACTTCGTTTTTCACGTTCTTGTCGATTGGTCGATACGATAGGTACTTTACCAATTCTTTCATACCGTGCTGAAATTTAGTGATTTCGTCGTTTTTGAAAAGCGTAAATGAAATCACTTTTCCAGTGATAATTGTCAATGTGATTAAGCCGAAAAGTGACCAGGTGCTCAAAGACGCCTTCAAATACCATTGTCTGACATAATACTTGTTGACACCCATATTGAAGAAGGCGCTGGTGATAAGTAGTAAACTATCGTAGTACGTGTGAGTAAGTCCCAATGGACTCTCATATTTGGAAGTAGGAAACCATCCTCTGCAGATTACTCCCTCTTGAAATAATTTATGTCTTGGAATTAGGTATTTCTTGTTGAACGAGTAATCGCATTCATAGTAAATAGTGATACTGGCAAAGCAAACAATAGATAACATAAATAATAAGAATATCACGAAATATAGGAGAAATCCAATTTTTTGTATTTTATTTTCTTGGTATTTAGCATAACCTACCAGTCGATACATGTGCAATACTCGATTCATTCTGGTATAAACCACTTGTCCAGACATCATCAAATCAAATGGTATGCTTCCCAACAAATCTATAACGAACGAATGAGTCAAGTAATGTTTTATGGTATATTTATAATTGGTAATTTCGATTCCATTTTCATTATAATACGTCGTCATCAGTCTAATACTCATATCCACAATGTTGACGGCATCGAGAATATGAAATATCGTCATAATATAAAAATTATTGCCATTACTGATGAAATAGTTTGTTGAGCTGATCAAGCAATTCAAGTAGGCTGCAGTACATCGAAATAGTTCCCAGTAGAAAATTAAATTGCTATCCATATGTAAAGTTCTCTGGTGCTCAGATTCGTGCACGATAATCATGTTTTTTGCTATTATTGTTTCTATAGCGTAAATTCCAAGGTTTCGTTTAATAGGATATCCGGCATAATCATAAACCTTTTCATTCAGAACTATTCTGGATATATGCGAATGTTCATTAGATTTTACGAACGTTGTACCATCCAAGCATTTATCCAACATTTCTTTGATTGATGGATAAAATAGTAAAAATTGAACAAGGTGAGACTTCTCGATGCACAGCAGAATGCAATCGGAAACTGTTACAACATCAAATTGAATTGGAGCATCTAGAAACGCTTCTATTATTGCTATATTATCGCATTCTCTGATAGTTGTAAATCCGTCTACGTATCTTAGTTGACACATACCTTTTTCAATTATATAAAATTCAGTTACTACTTCGCCGACGCTGCATACAAATTGATCAGCTGGCAATATTTTTCTCTTTATGTAAGTGTAAAACTTCTTGCGACATTCTTCAGGAAAATTTGAGAAAACGGCGTTCCTGTCGAATAATTTGGAATAGTGTATATTTCTGAAAGTTACCATCAGATCCTCGTGCAACGGTATATCCATTCCTCGCATAGTAGTAAAATGCTGAAGATTCCAACGGAATTTTAAATAGTTATAAACCGTTTCATCGTATCCTAAATCCACATGCTGCATCGACTTAAATATGTTGATAATTTTCTCTTGATCCCTCAATATGCTCAATTTCTTCAAAGCGCTAGTTACAATAACGCTGGTCATAAAAAGCAAGTTCAGTATGATTATCATGAATGCAAGTACAGTGTACAATATGTATTGGAAGCTTGCACCAATCACCGGCATTTCGTCGTAGTGCGTGTTGCTCAATGTATTCTGCGTGATACTGAATGTGCTCAAGAATATTGCGTACCAGTTTTTGCTTCCGGATCTATTCAGGAAATATGTGTAATTTTTATTGCATTCGTACCCGGAGCAATTCAAACGATAAATTGCAATGCACGTGTAATAGTAGAACATGCACAAATGGAAACAGTATCTGAAAATTTCAACTATATTCATTTGTCCTGTGCTGCGTGTATAAATCATCTTGAAGAATGTTTCAACTCTGTAATATTTTAACAATCTGTTTGCTTGCAGGAGAGGATATATGGTGGGTTCAATGAAACCTTCGATGAAAATGGTTATAATTTCAATGGGCAAAAATGACAAACAATCCAAGATGAAGGAGACCTGACTCAACCGATGTACTGCAATTTCCTTGAACGTTATGAAAGTCGCTCCACGCGTTTTCACCGCCGTAAACAGTTGAAAATATATATCCATTGCGTATAATATGGTCACGCTGATTATAAAAAAATATTCGTATAGATCAACGGTGACGGAAAACGTGCAGAATATTGGGTAGAATATTACAAATGCCAATGTCACAACTAGAACGATCATCTCCCAGAACAACAGCAACGGCGAATTCGGTTGCAATATAAAATGGAATGAAGTCTTTATGAAAACCTTATCTTCGATTAATTCGATATCATCGGAAACTACGATTTTATCCAAGTGCACAACGTAAAATGATAAATCATCCAAGGAAGCTCCGTATATTTCTTCAACTCGATCCGGACTGTTTTCCCATATTGCGCATTGGAAATCTTTAATTTTTGCCAGAATCATATTCTTCGAATTCTTATTACCTCTAATTTTATCAATTAGCACCGCTTGATTGATCCATCTCAAAACGCATCCTCTCAAGTATTTGTAATGGCACGGATAGATTTTGATCATCTTCCTGAAGTTACTTAATGGAAGTACCACCAATTCGCAGTACGTTTGACATACTATAGTACACGATGATGGATATTGAAAGAACAGTGTACTTTCTCCGATGCAACTTCCTCCGGATATGGATAGTACTGATGTTTCGTTATCTTCTTGAGAAAGTATTTGAAGAACACCGTGCGTTATGTAAATCATGTTTGAATTTAATTCGCCTTTCCTTAAGATAATTTGCCCGGGAACCGCAAAATCAAATCTCACCAATGTCGATAGGTAACGAAGTAAATGATTATCTTGATGTTGGAAAACATGAGAGTGTTTTAAAGCATTGTAAGCGACGTCCGCGAAGATGCTGATCATTTGTGATCTTGGTAGTAATCGAATGGCCGTTATATCCAGCAAAGATCCATTCCTTT